AGTAAATATGGCCTTCTATCCACAGGGTCTGCTTCCCCTCTTTCCCTTAGACATGAAAGTGACTTGTAATTACCTCTCTTAAGCTGAATTCTGGAAGAATAACAGTGATTCACAAGCATGGGGAAGCTCTGCTGAAACCCAGACTGTATTTACTGCTATTTTTTCCATTCTTCAAGATCAGACCCTCGCTGGTTGCGCTAGAAGAAACGATAGCACATTCCTAACTGACAGTAGCATTTCTTAGGAATTGTTATGGAAGGAGCTGGAAGCAAAGTGGTTTTCAGAAATATAAGATTGCAGCATAAATTCAATTTTTAAAATGCCTTTAGCTTCAATAAAGTCAGAATCACGGTGCAAAAGCGGCAGAGAGCCATACTTTCCTGCTGTTGACACAGTGGTGGTGTTTGTTATACCCAAACTCGTACTACATCCTGAAGTCTGACGACATTTCATTTCACCCACTTCACTGCAAGAGTCTTTCACCCACGCCTCCCTGGGGCTAACTGCACTCAAGAGCATTCTGGGGAAGCCTTTACCTCTGGAAGCATCAGTTATTGACTGTTGCTTCAGGGAAAATGAGAAGCCTGATATGTGTCTGCCTGTTAGAGCGTCAAAGTTTATGAATTTCCTCTCCATGTTTCTGATACATTCTCTCTTTAGTTGATAGTCTCCAATTACCAAACAATGAAAAAGCCTAGGGTGTAGAACAAAGGTCTCTTCATTAATCTGTCCCCCTATGATGCCCATTCTTCTGTGTCCCCAGAAGTAAGAAAGGCTAAGAGGTGTTGTGTTGTACTGTTGCTTCGGAATCTTAATTTGAACATTGGTAACCAGAGCTGTCATTCTCCACGTAGGAGCAATGTTAGAACACTGTCAAGGAACCTAAATGGCCCCTGGGGAAATCCAGCTTTTGCTGTGTGTATAAACCCTTTGGAGGTTGCAAGCTCACGATCTCAGAGTCTGTACAACCCGCAGATGTATTTTGTTTGGCTTCTCCACTATATTTAAAATATATGAATTAAGTTGCTTAACATTTTTAAAGTTATGGTATTTCACCATCAAATCTGGGGGCTGGTGAACTTGGGTAGAGGCTCCCCTTATGTATTCCCATTGAGCAACAACTGGCTAGAGCCAAACAGTGGTGACCCCATAAAGATTCGGCCATCTGCCACACTGGTTGTTCTCAGTTGTCTCACAGATAGCCAGCTGAGCTCATCTGCACCACCAGCTAGCTCCTACAGAACTTTAGGTTTGAAGTTCTGTTCGCTGAGTATCAGGTTGGAGAACTAAATATGGTATCCAAATCCAGATATTTTCCAAGCAAAAATTGGTGCCTATTAATAATCATATCAAGGCCATGGGCATAAATCAGGACTGTCTCAGAAAAAAAGATATATATATATACATATATATATATATATACATATATATATATAAATACACAAATATATGTATATATGTGTGTGTATAATGGTATATATATATAATGATATATATATATAATGGTATATATAATGGCATATATATAATGGTATATATATCAATATATACATACACACACACACACACACACACACACATATATATATATATATACCATTATATCCCAGTCCTTCCATCTACTATGAGAATACTGAGGCCACAAAGGAAGGAATTTGCCTGAAGTAGTCAACATATAAATCAATGGCAAGGCATTCCTTCCTGCTGTGACCCCTACTGCAGTGTTCTTATGGTATAACAAGTGGAATAAGTACAAAACCATATCCGCTTTGGCCATATGGATATTTTATAGTTGATTGCTATCATTGCCAGATGTGCTGACAGCACATCTGTAATCTAAGCACTCAAAAGGCAGAGGGAGGAGGATCGTGAATCACATGCTAAGCTGGGCTATATAGCAAGACTCTATCTCCAGAAACCCAAATTAATAAAGGAATAAGTAAATAGTCAAAAATTATACACACACATACACCTGCCTGTCATCTATAAAAAACATGGCTAATGTCATGAGACTGCCTACAGATTGGTAGCTTATATAAAGAGCAAATTTATATTATAATTCCAATTAGTTATGTGGCCCACAGCACACGTGGAGATGTTTCAAACACTGGTAGACTTGAGATCTGCAAAATAAGCATAGCCACAGTTTCTTATTTAAATAGATACATATACGTATACATATACGTATACGTATATTGTATATTGTTGGGGGGAACACAACAAAAGACTACCATCAAGCATCTGATAACTGTTATGTTAACAAACCTTGTTTATTCCTCTCTTGGTCATTGGCTATTATATGGTAATGAACACTAAGTGTGTGTGAGCCGTCTAAGATCCAACTTTCTTAAATCCTCGACTATGTGTTTATTCTCTTGTTTCCAAGACACATTTTTAGAGACCATTCTGGATGAGATCATTATTTTAATCATGTGGTCAGATTTTGGTATCAAACTCCATCTTGTCTCTTACCTAGGGAGTCATGTAAGCCTTAGGGGCACCTCTTGGTGTTCTATGAAGGAAGTCTTCCTTTTCTTTTCTATTACTTTTCTCTCATACAATACGTCCTGACCACAGTTTCCCCTCCCTCCACTTCTCCCTGTCCTCCCCCACCACCTCTCCTCACTCCCAGATCCACTTCTTTTCTGTTTCCCTTCAAAAAAGAGCAGGCCTAACAGGGATATCACAAAATAAGATACAGTAAGACCAGGCGCACTCTCATATCAAGGGTGAATGAGTCAACTGAGTAGGAATAGGGTCCAAAGAGCAGGCAAAAGAGTCAGAGACACCCTCTACTCCCACTGTTAGGAGTCCCACAAGAACACCCAGCTATAACAGCTATAAGGTATATGCAGAGGACCTAGCTCAGACCCATATAGGGTCCTATGATTGTTGCTTTTCTGTCTCTGTGAGCCCCTGTGAGCCCTGCTTAGTTGATTCTGCATGCCATGTGCTCAAGGCAGGACACCTTTCTTAATGTCCATTTGTCTTTCCTTCTAAGAGACCTTGCAAGCCTCAGAAGCATCTTCCCATGTCCGCTGTGCACAAATGGAGGGTCAAGAAGAAAGCATTTTTTGCTAAGACTTGCTATAGCAGAGCTGGCCTAAAGCATCAGCCAATGATAATACTCCTTTAGAATATGCATGTAGCTTTCCAAATGTGGACCTGTTGCCCTTGCAGGAAGCTTGACCAGGATGCATGTTACCATGGTATCCTCCTGCTCCTGTGGAGAGTCAAGGGAACAGAGCAAGCGATGATGGCTTTCACTCTACTGTCTTCCTTCAGCTGCTGGGTCCTCTCCTAGTATCCCAGGTGCCTCCCCACCCCCACCTTTGACCTTTGTCAAAGCTGCTTTTTTGGTGGACGTCCTTATAGAAGAAGAAACCAGTGACTTGCTGTGACTTCTAGACTCAAAATGTAAACCACACATTTTGTTTTCTACACTTGATCTTAGCCAGAAGGCTGGGAAACAATAAAGTTATTTACTAAATCAGCAAACCCCATGTGCATAGGCTTTGTTTTTATATGAAAGTCAGACTATAGATGGATGGACAGGAAGGTATGGTATGCTGTGTACCTGTGTGTGTGTCTGTGTGTGTGTGTGTGTGTGTGTGTGTGTTCAATCTGGACTAATAGTACTTCCAAATATACCTCTTATTGCGTTTAGTTAAATGAAATTCATTTGTGTTTACCATGTAGAGCTCAAACATACCAGAGTTTTAAACATCTCTAGATATGTTGTGGTCCAAGTCATTAACTAGATTCATAATGGGAAGTCGTCCTTGGTATAAACTACAACACTGTGGACCTGTGGAAATATGGTGTTCAACAGCTACATGTGGTTACTGAGCCCTTGAAATGACAATATGTTGTGGATACTGGCGTAAGTGAAAAAAAAATGATATTAAGTTCATTGTTTGAGTTCGTGTGTACATTTTTTGATGTTATTACTAGAAAAGATAAAATTACCAATGTTGTTAGCATTGCACTGTCACTGGATGGTGCTGCCCTGGGGATGTTTGCCATGCGCTGAAATAAAGAAGGATTCAGTTGGGTGCCTTAGATGTACCACAGTGACCTTTTATCATCACAAGACAGACGGGACGTTTGCTACTTCCATCCTGGCAGAGCTTTCTATTTTGCTGGCAAAGTTCCAGGGTGGTAGTGATAGCCTGGCCTTTCCCTTGCTATAAGAATATGGTGAAAACATGCAGAGTATCTTCTATAAGTCCGATCCAGCTCGCCCCTCACGTCACCTAGCATCGTATTCCCTGTACAGCTAGCTCTTCACTCCCCAGAGTCCCCGAGGAGCACCTGTTCTGACACCAATCCTGAAGTTTCTATGCAATATCACACAGAAGGCACTTGGGTACATACCACGCCAGCTGTGGGTGCCATATGGAAAAACCATACCATATACATATGTACAGAGTATTTCTGAAGCCAGAAGGAGTGTAGAGGAGTGTGTAGCCAGCCTAGCGTTATCTTTTCATTGCCTTTGAACATTTTAATCATTGAGATATCTTTTAAGCCATAAATAGAACCATGTAGCTAGTTAACTCCAAATATGTACTTTTGTTTTGATATGGACACGGGATGGATTGTATGAAAATGTAGATGGAATGTTTAGATACAGATGGGTTTGACTTTCCACTGAAGTGTGGAGACGGCTGTGTGACTGCATAAGGATGGCGCATGTCAGTCTGCTCACGAGGATTTCTCATTCGGAGGAGAGATTCCCTCTTCCTAGAAATAGTCAGAGATAAGGTCCCCTTTCTGCTTCCACCTAGGGTTGGTCCTCCCTTCCCTTGGATGGCTGCCAAAAGTGCTTGGAATAGTCATTCCCTCTGACCTAGGCCAGCCTCGATGTACCTCTCCTAGCACAGACCATACAGAACAGTGGCCCCATGAGGGCTTGGCACTGGTGGGTGCCAGGAACAGGGCTGCGTTTTCCTTTGGAGTAACCTCTTTCCTTCTTCTTTTCCTTCTGCTTCTTCCAGGCAGGACAGGGCTGCTTGCTGATCTCTTGCCCAGTTTTGCTGTGGAGATTATGCCAGGTATTCAGTCATTTAACCCTGTATTTGCTGTCACTCCATCTGTCTGCTTCTGCGTTAGTCACTAATTATTTGTTTGAATTTGGGGGGGCACATTTATCTGTTTAATGTTTGTTGTCTTTTTCCAGGATGAGCCAATGCCCTTGGATGAGCCTTTTATATACCTTCTTTTCCTAGGTCCTAAAAGAATAATGGGAATTGGGAATAAGTGGAGATGGGGACCCAGTCTCTTGGTGTCATGCATACAGCTTCATTGCTTATCTTGGGGCCCATCTCAGTATTTCACTTGTACACAGATAGTTATATCTCCTTAAGTAGTATTTACTTGTATCCCTTATTTCCTAAATTATATGCTTACCCATTCACTATTATACAACCACGTTACACTGAAGTGCCTTCTGTAACATTACCAAAAACTTTTGTCTTTTAGACTTAGGAAAGTACATGTCTTCCTTCCTGCCAAGCATTCACAGACCCATACTTTTGTATATTTAGACCCTGGAAATTCCCTAGGCACCCGTGAACCATATGTCAAGATCACTAACCCAAATACATATCTGCAAACTCTTCATATAGCTTCAGGTGGAGGTACCAGCCAGACAAACCAATCTGGTGCTAAACTGTAGCTTGTAATTGAAGGAGGTTCAGGGAGAACTAAAATTCAATTATAGAAAGTACGTTACCCGTGAAAGGAATAGCAGAGGGTATAATTAGCTTTGATTTCTGCCGTATCGTTAAGGTCCTCCTAATAGCAACAGAGATATGAAATATTTCTGGCCATTGGCTTTGGATTGATGGAAATTTTAAGAAACATCCAGAGTCTTCGAAATCCAGCGTCACTAGTTGTTCTTCTATGAGTTAATCCAGGCTTTTACCTTTAGTTGGCCAACCAAACTCAGACCTTTTCCTTATTGCTATTATGTTCAAGGACACAGAGAGACATTGTAACCGATCTTATCAAGACTTCCCTCCATTTTTAAGCATTTATTTACACCAATAAAAATCTCACACACAATGTTTCAAAGTATAAAAAAAAAATTGTATCTCCCAAGTCCAAGGAAGAGTTTCTGTATTTTATATCCAGTCATGTTCACCTCAGTTTCCTTCTCTTTGACCCCAAGAACCCCTTCACTGACTTGTTTATTTATTTACCTATTTATTTATTGAGAAGGGGTCTTGTTACTGTAGGCTTGCCTCATCTGGTACTTGCTGTGCAGCCCAGGCTATCTTTCAATTCACAGAAATCCTCGTTCTGAAGAAAGCAAAGAAAGTGCTAAGATTACAGGCATGCTCTGCCAAACCAAGCTCAGACAGCATTCGTTTGTTTCTCACTATAACCTGCTAGTCTTTATCCCTAACTGCTTCAATTCCCTATAGCTGACCTAAACAACCTCAGAGATAAACCCCATCTTCTTAAGTTATTTACTTACAAGACTTGGGCTAAAGCCACTTGCTATTGGTTATCCCCTGCAAGAATGTTCTCCGCACAATTCGAGTCAGACACAAAGTTTTCTCATTCCCTAGTTGAAAAGAGGTTGGCTTGGCCTTGAGTGTATTAAAGATCGATAAATGGGGACTATTCTAAATTACAAGCTGTTTGTTTTCTGTCCTAGGAAATGACAAAGGTCAAATGACTCAACAACTGTTACAAAACTCTTTACATGTAAAAGTCACATTCTCAAGGCCTCAAAGGAATATTTGTGTAATGGGAGGGACAATTAATAACCAAACTTTAAGAAAAAAAAAGTATCAACTGAAGCTTATCATAAAGGGATTTTGAGTGGATGGGTTTCATCTTAATCTTTTGGCTTTTAAGGAAAGCATGGCTGCACCAGTGTGTCCAAGTCTCCAGGAAAGACACGGACTCATCCCCAGCCCAATTGTATGATATTGAGGCAAGTCACCTGAGAGTCATAATCATGTTTATGTAAGCCAGATAGAATTTGCTTCCTTTTAAATCTTTTGGATGGGCAAATTAAAGGGAATTAATGTTCAGCCTCAGACAGAATTATGAAAATTATAGAAGTCGACAAACATATTAGCTGTGCTATTCATCAGTGCTCTGAGCCACTTAATTCTGGCTATGCTGGCAGGCTGGCATGCTCATCTTGAGTGTGATCAAACCAAACCCATACCCTGAGGATGGAGGGCTATATCTCTATTTGAAACTATGCTTTTCCCTCCTCCCCAGCCCCCCTAACCTTGGATAGCTATTGGGGTATAAGCAAGAGTTTTGGACCTCTGCCCAGGAGCTAATGACAAGAAAGGTATCCCAGGAAAGCAGACAAATGCACTCTGAGCCTGGACCACAAAAAGGTGATCTACATAGGTCATGGAGGTACATGGGCCTACCCCAACCTAAAGATTTACAGGTTTTGTTTGTTTGCAAAGGTGGAGTTTCACTTTGTAGTGAAGACTGCTTTGATCTTTCTGTCTCAGCCTTCTGGGGGCTGGAAATATAACAATGGCCCACCATGTAAGGCAAGGATTGTTAACTTATAAACAAGATTGGCTTCATTATAAAAGACATGTGTCTGCAGAATCCATCAGGTAGGAGCGCCACACACAAGACCCCACCCCTCAGCTTTTGTTCTACAATTATTCCCGTTAGGAACTCCAGTCTCCAGTCACAGGGCTGGCTACTTGATGCACCCTAAGAGATACAGGTCACCTGGTTCTCTTTTCTCTGTGCCCTAGCATTTCTCACTCTGAGTACTTCATGAGTCTGGGGCCCCTATGTCCTGGTTAGCTGTCCTTTCTTCCCCAGGTCCTTCCCACTCACCTCTTTTGCAGAGAGACACCCATCCATGTATGCTGTGTCCTGAAGGGGGGCTACCTCGAGTCGATTTCTTTGTGCATCCTTCCAGAGTGGGTGTTTGTCGGCCTGGTGATCCTGGGGATCTTCCTGTTCTTCGTGCTGGTGGGGATCTGCTGGTGCCAATGCTGCCCTCACAGTTGCTGCTGCTATGTCCGCTGCCCGTGCTGCCCCGATTCCTGCTGCTGCCCTCAGGCCTGTGAGTAGGGATCTGTGGGGAGATGTGGAGCCATCCAAAGTAATGTCACCTCTCCATCCGACAGCCATGTGCCCCGAGTTCCTCCTCCACCCCTTACCTCTGGCTTCAGGGAAGACCGTTCTTGTTTTCCGCCTCACCTCCATGCATATCAGTCTCTCTGCATGCGGTTTATCTACATGTGTCATGCATTCCTAATGCTCACGGACATTGCACATGAAAGGAAGGGCAGGATCAGAATGGTGAAGTTTGGCGTAGCGCTGCACCCTCTCCTTGGAGCATTCAAACAGAGAAAACCTTTTGTAAGTGGAATATAAAAACTGTGATTTTCGGCACCATCCAGCAGACACCCATGAGTTCTGTTGACTCATAAGATGAATATGGCCACAGTAAGGATCGGCCCACATTTGGGGATGCACAGGGTTCGTTTACTGGCCAACCCATGAAGGCATTGTGTTTGACATCCCAACCACAAACCAGATACGTCTTAAAAGAGAGAGGCACACTCTATCTTTAGAACCGTTAGGAATGAACAGACAGGGGGTTATGTGTATACCCAGTGCTTGCTTTGCCTCCTGGAAACATCCCTGAACAACCCTTTTGCTAACTCCCTCTGGAGGAACCATGGTAGCTTCTAGACAGGGCAGTTCCAAGCTGAGATGCCACCATGATGGCTCCTAGATCCATTTCAGTGTTGTTCAGTTGCCGGATTCTAAACATTGTAGTTCCTCATATGGCTGCCTGTGTCATGAAGCTGGAGGAATCCAAGGGGAGCGGTTCTGGTGATTCCGGTGAACCAGTTCAGTCCTGGAAGAATGAACATACGTTTGTTTAGGAGCTCCCTTGAAAGAATGGAACCTCAGGAATCCCGGGTATGAGGGTTGTGGAGGGTGGGACTACATAATCTCTCTTGCTCTTCATCTCCCTCCACAGTGTATGAAGCAGGGAAAGCAGCCAAGGCCGGGTACCCTCCCTCTGTCTCCGGTGTCCCTGGCCCCTACTCCATTCCCTCTGTCCCTTTGGGAGGAGCCCCCTCTTCTGGCATGCTGATGGACAAGCCGCATCCACCTCCCTTGGCACCAAGTGATTCCACTGGAGGAAGCCATAGTGGTAAATGTAGTCCCAGACTGCCCCACCCGATGATGGACTTGGGTCCCTCCCTCCTTCCTTGCTGATAAGGACAGTTCTTCAATGATGTATCTTTGGGAAAACAGCGATCTCCATTCCAGAAATAGGGCCCTTCCAGCTGAGGCAGATATCTTTTGGAGTACACATCAGGCTTTCAAGGGGCTAAAGGACACCCCGAGTCTCACTTTCCCGTTCATGTTTTCATTAATGAAAACTATAAAGAGAAGGAATTTGCTACTTAAACTATGACCGTGTGATTAATAGTGACCTCATGCCCACCTAGTGTTCAGGACTGTGGCAGGGAGTGTGAGGGACAGTAGACTGTGTAGAGTATGGTTTCTCAAAGGTGAGAATAGACCTTCATTAAGACAATCAGATCCTGAAGAGTATGGTACTTAGAGTCCAAAGATAAAAGTGCTGGAGTTACTACAGCATCTTCATGGAGGAGATGAGATCTGGACCAGGATGCAGGATGGATGAGAAATATTTAGAAAAACGGTGTGGCCGCTGTCCCAGCGAAGGAAGATCAGTAGGACAGTGGCATCCCAGAGCACAGAATGTGAACATGTCAGTGAGCAGCTTGTCAGGCTGCCTGGAAGAAGACAGAAGGGTTTGCTGGAGACTAAGGTGGGCCTTGATGCCTATCTAAAAGAGCAAGTGAGAGCCTCTCCAGGAGGATTGGTGAGTGGAGAGCCGGCAGGTGGTAAGGTGGGAGAGAGGCTCGGAGACAGGGAACAAAGCTCTGAATACATTGTTCAGGTACAGGAGCATCTGGTTTATGGTGGAAACGGTGGGAGTCGACATGCCAAGTAAATCTGAGAAATACTTTGAAAGAAAAGAGATGTTAGGAAATAAAATAAAGGAAGAAGACTTCAGAATGACCCCAAGATATCCAGCACTACAGATGAGAGTCAGAAATTGGATCATTGGTGAAGAGGGCTGATTAGAGGAACAATCAGCTTTATTAGAGATAAGTAGAGGCCAAGGGGCAAAGCAGAGTGGAGAGGTGGAGACGTGTTGTAATGCAGCTTACCTGGAGGCATTTGATCAGGGTTACAGGGCTATGAAGGTTAAGACTGCATAGTTGACTTCAGTGACAGCAAATTGTATATGTAGGAGGTGAGAAAGGGTACCCAGCCCACATAATGAGCCTCCAGTGCCTGGCTGTGGCAGGAGTGGGTATCCTCAGTGAGTAATTGGTATTTGTGTTTTTCTCTCTTCCCTGAAACTATTAGTAGAATTCTGACGTCTGAGACTGAGGATGAGTCACAAACAGAGAAGGAAAAGCTAATGACGAAGGATATGCAGGGGAAGTAAGAGACAGACGGCACAGTCCATTTCCCTGGAGGGAGGAGTAGGAAAGGAAACTTACTGGGCCATCACACGGCCTTTCAGTTGCTGCTTTCCCTTTACACCTTTACTCTTCATTTAATGGATTATCACAATGGAATAAGGGCTTATCAATAATCTAGCAAGTGTTTCCTCTCTCCACCTTTTTCTTTTTCTTTCTTTTTTTCTTTTTAATGTTTTCTTCCTTTTTTTTCTTTTTAAATAGGGACTTACTGTGTAGCTCTGGCTACCCTGAAACTTGCTGTGTAGACCAGGCTGGCCTTAATCTTTCCTCCATTTCTGCTTGTTGCAGTTTTTCATCATTTTGGCCCTATCCCATCAATACTAACCAATTGCAATGAGAAGTAGAAAAAAAAATGTGTTATGACAAGAATTCCCAAGACTCAGTAGTTGCTGACTTGGCTGCTCACACAGTCTGGTGGCATCCACGCAGGACAGATTTCTTTCTTTTGTGCTGTCCTCTTTAGCACATGCTTCGTCCAGTTGGCTGGCTCCCTTGATGACAGCAATAGTTAGGAAAGGCATCTGCGATGAGCTATGCAGAAGAGAGCCCTGTAGTTAACAACAGGGAGATGAAAAGAGGCGCCCTGACTCCTTAACCCACGATTTACAGCTGCCACTCAGGTCCTTCTCTGTCACTATGACAAAAGGTGGGCTTCTCCTGGGCCGGGCTGGATCCATCCCCTTCAGGTTGTTGGCTGAATACCCACACTTCATCTGGTTTACACCTCCCAGCTCTAACCTTCTGTCTTGGTGTCTCTTTCCTTATACCATTCAAAACGTGCTCCTGTGTCTCCTGTAGGAGTACAGCCATTTGTAAAACACCTCAACATCGCTTCTCCATTCATCCTCCACTCCTCACAGCCAAACTCCCTGAAAGAGCTTTTAATAGTCAATGTCTCTGTTTCCTCCCCTCTCACCAACTCAGCTAACTTCCTTCTTGTTCCTACCAAGCTGCCTGATTGCTAAATCTGATGGCTGCTTCTCACCCCTCAACCTCTCTCCTCTAAAACCCTGGCTGCCCCTGATGCAATCGTCCGTCTGTGCCTCGGCGTTCTGTTCGTTTCTCTGCCTGTTCTGACAGTGCCTCTTTCTTCCTCTGTGTGTCTTCCTGGCATTGGTGTTTTTGCTTGGTCTGAGGTCCGCTCTCTGGAAAATCCTATCTACTCCCAAAGCTTCAGCCATCATCCATATGCTGACGATTCCCAGTCACGACTTTCCAGACTTCTGCTGCTAAGACCCTTAGAGCCAACTGTTTCTGAATGTCTCCAGCTGGATGTCTTACAGGCATTCAAGCCTTAGCCTCTAGGAATTCAGTCTACTGTTCCTCCCCACCACCCTATTTTGCTTTCCTACTTCAAGCCAGAGTCTATATAACTCATCCTAGTGGGTAGCATCATTGTCTGCCTACCAGCTTAAATTCAAACCAGGGAGTCCTTATTTTTCACTCTGCTTGTCCAGTCCGTCACCAAGGCCTTCAGATTATACTTTAGCCTTGAACTGATTTATTTCCCTCCATCCCTACTGTAACTATCTTGGTCCTCACTGCCTCTACTTCCTGCCTTGCTTACTGAAATCAGCTCCTCCCCTTATGCCCGTGCTGAATATACCTGGATTCCATTCATCCTGCTGAGAAAAGAATGGAGTGACAAGGAGGATTTTGAAATGTCATTTTAAAATTAATAGAGATGTGTGTCTATATATATATAGATGCCTACTGTATGTACACAGAATATGCAAATTTTAAGACTCACTTCCCCCACAGTTGAGCTGCTGTCACCCTGGGGGTGGAATCTGGCAGCTGTTCCATCATCCATAAACAGCCTTACTGAGCTCATTAAGATAGGACAGGAAGAACAAGCCTATATCCATGGAAGTACACCTTAGAGACTGCCTGCACAGCGTTTCTAAGTCAGATTTGGTCTAGAAATGGGGAAATTGATTGAAAAAAAAATCCAACCTTAATTAGGTCAAAATAGCAGCCTAAATGACGAGGTTTGTGAGACTGTACTTTGGCATCACAGGTGATTTTCTAATGTCCTCTCTCTAGTAAAGTTAAAATTAGAAAAGGAATAAGAGAGAGGCTGAAGCATGAAGAGCCACATAAACCAAAGGTTTTGGGCCAAGCTGAACTGGAAAACAGAAATAAATCATCCATGACCCTGAGCTGAAACACTACCAGGAAAAAAGTCATTTTCTAAACATGCTGGACTTCGGCCAACAGTCTAGGACATTTCTTATTAAAATACAACCACATTTCAAAGCATTCTCCTGCCTTTAAATTATAGATAAAAACCAACCTGATACAATTCCATGCAGGTTTTTAGTTGGTTAGTTTGGTTTAATACATGTACACACACACACACACACACACACACACACACAAACGCACAGACACACACACCCCCATATATATATATATGAATATGACCTTGGATGGCTTCAAAAGTGTTGTGTAGTCCAAGCCAAGCTAGCACCAACTCAGGGCAATCCTCTGGCCTCAGTATCACATGTACTGGAATCATAGGCATGTGCCACAGCTCATGGCTCTACCTTTTTACGAATCAAGGGATAATCTATAGCTGCCGCTGGTAACACACACTTACAACCTCAGCACTCAGGAGGCAGAGGCAAAAGGAGCCACAAGTTTAAGACCAGCCTGGACTGCATAGCAAGTTCAAAGCCAGCCATTTAAAAAACAAAAAAGTATGAATTTCCCCAGCTCTCAAAGAAATTAGAAAATTGTAGTCTATCAGGATCTTTGCTGGAGGCTTGTTAAAGGAAATAAAATGGATAAGAAATACAGAGGAGTTTATAGAGAAACTGTAACACAGAAAGGAAAAATCACATTGTCAGAGAGGATGGGGAAAGATTTTTCTGGTGACTCATATGCTCTTGAGCACATGCAAGACACAGAGCCAGATTCTATGGAAATGCAAGAAGAATTTAGTGTGCTCTACAATCAAACTTGCAGCTTATAATTTTATATAAAAATATCCACACCCTTTAAGGGAGAATTGTCTTGATTTTTAGCAACTGAAACCAAACAGATGATACCCCAAAAGTCTGAAGAGCAATCCTTTGCCTCTGTCTTCTGACAAGTCAGAAGAGTATAAATCTCTGAAGTCTCCAGGCTGCTGTGGCAGAGACGTCAAAGTTGAAATATTATGGCACAGTGGAGTCTCTTTTTAACGACAGTACTGAAAGCTAAAACTATTCTCTTCCCATGGGGATGTAGTTACTGTATATTCGCAGAGATTGATAACCCGTGCATACAATCTAATCTGTATCATAATGAGGACTGTAATTTTTTCTAATCACACTGAAAACAATCTAAACTGTACTCCCAGCTCCTCCAACTGTGGCTCGGCATAGCTGCTCCCTCTGCCTCCTCTTCTGGGAGACAGTTAGTACCTAGTTACATATAGTAATAGCCATCTCTAACCCATGACCTTTATTTTGGTGTCACTAAAAGTTTGCTGTAAAAGTGTTCCCCATATTAAGAACACCCAGGCAGAGCCAGGGCTGCAGGTAGAGGAAACCCCTTCCTAATGCCTACAGCCATGCTGGTCTTCTTTCCTTAGAAAATGATCACCGATAATGTCAGACACAAAACCTTCTTGCTTTCCCGGGCTACCGTTCAAATCTTCCCTTCCTGGTTAGAATTCTCCAGCAACTCACCCGCATAGCTTCCTATGCCGTACTCTGTAACCCACGAAACACTGCCAGTCACCGTCTCCATTCATTCCTTCACCCATTTGATCATGCCTTCATCCATTCATTTGAACGTGCATGTTTTGAATGTCTAACATGTGCCAGGCTCTGTGCTAGATACTAGAGTTACATAGGTACATAGTAATTGTCTTCAGAGAGATTACGGGCTATGGATTCATATCAACAATACACTTTCCAAAGAAGCTATGAACTGGCTCTCGTAGGCTGGGAGACATTCAACAAATCTTTAGTACTCGTTATATATAAAACACAGTCTTAGGCACATGGAAATCTTAAATTATAATGTCTTCAAAATTTTTTTAAAGAAGATTATAGACGTCTATATAAAGAACTTGGAACAAACTAGAATATATTAAGGCCTATAATACAAATTCAAATCAAATGATTTTTAAGTTAGGAAAAAAAGATTGGAACAGAGAGACAGAATTATAGGAGCCAAAGGACAATCTTTGGATGAGGTAGCATTTAAGATGCCCTGATTCATTCTAGAGCACCCAAGTGTCCTACCAATTTGCTTTTAGCTGTCCCTCTTCTTGAAGTAGTTACATGGAAGCTGAGTCTTGATGGGTCTCTACTCTCTGGAGGTCCCTTCCTAAACCAGCCCCAGCGTGCCCAGAGCCCTGTCTGTCAGCCCTGCACCTCACCATCAGACATAGCCACGTTGCTACAGACATAGCAGTTCTGTGGGATAATTGCGTTTTAATTGAACTGTCTGTACTACTCTGTAAACGCCTCTGCAGAGAGGAAGAATGAGTAGCTTGATAAATCAAATCATTTCTGCTAATAATTCCTTCTGTGTAAGGTTTATGGATGGACCTAACCTCTGGGAGAAGGTGCCGCTGGGAAGTATGTACTGAGAACTCATTCATTTTTTTTTTTCCTGAGTCATTTCACATGTCGAGATGGACACGGCCTGCCCAGTATTCTCTCACATGGAAAGTCTGCACCTGCAAAAGGATGTGTGGGCGGCTTTCTCCTTCAGTGCTTGGGTTGTGATGAGAGCCCTGTAGAATTTTATATTTCAATCCTCCATGTAAAGAGCTTGAGGGCAGAGGCCTTTGCCCACAGACTAATGCATCCAGAGACATAAAACATCTCTTTTATTGGATGCATACACATTCTGTGTTTTCTCTATTCTCATTATGTGCACCACTGCCGGCGAGAAGTCAGGTCCATGCCTCAGACCTTACCCTCCCTGGTGTGGTCTGGAGACCACATCTGTGGCCTACTTTGGATTTCACTATCTTGCTTTCTTCATCTACCAATTTTAAACCAGCCAACTAACCAACCAACCAAACAAACAAAAATAAACCCTGTACCTCCCTCTACACTTTAGAGAGATATGACGTCCTAATCCAGTAAAGCTTCAGCCAGCGAGACCACACGATTCCATGCCCAGTGCTGCCAAGTGTTCTTCTTCATGTCCTAGAATCCTCCTTTGTCAGAGTTTTCAACCACAAAATGCGGCTACTTAAGCCTCCTTTAAAACTTTAAAACAACAGTCCCTACTTAGATGGTCATGAGGACCAACCGTCCTGGTAAACGTCCAGCTGAGTACCTGGCACACTGTCAGCGGCCAGTAAATGTTGTCTAGTTGTCCCCTTTGCCCTGTCTTCATCCTCATTTCTCCCTATTTGTCTGCTCTGCCTGTTGTCTTGTCACCCCTTGGGCTGGTGTTGGGCTAGACTCACGTGATGCAGGGCATAAACAGCCCTTGTCTCTGACATTGGGACTGATAGAGATGTAGGGGATGGTATTGTTTCCCCTGCTTTTATATTATTATTATTATTAATTATTATTATTATTAAAAATACCTGTCTCTAACCACGAAGCAGCAGGTCGAGTTAAATTAGTCACACCTGAAATATGGCATCCCTTTTCTTAAAAGGAAAATGCTAAAGAAATAAACTGGAAGTGTGATTAGAAATCCGTGTGTTGTGCGGCTTGTTTTGTGCCTCTGTGTACTTAGTCTAGAATCTAATATTAGCTCCTAGGCACGCACCATCCAGCTTAAGGGAGGGTTTTTTTTTTTTTGCCATCTCCCAGGCAACTAGAGGCTTTCAGCCTGCCTTTGTGGAGGTCTGTGATGCTTGGAGCTCTGTCTTGAAGTTATGTGCACTTTTACCAAGTGAAGGTGTGGACTTCATGCTAGAGAGTGACGTGTCCTAAGCTGAGAATGGAGTCTCTTTCTCTTCTTGATGGCGTGAGCTTGCTCCTCCGCTGGGACTCAAAATCTATGCAGAGATGAGCCTTTAGTATAGCTGTGGAAGGTCAGACAACAGGAGGGACAGGACAGCAAATGAATAAAAGCACCCTGCAGCGAGTTTGCTTGTTGACCTCCAGGGTCTTCATCCCAATGGCATCCTCTGATAGAGGATCTCAAGTGAACCCCCTGTGTATAAACTGTAGTTTATGATTTCTGGGTGACTGTTCTAACTGAGACCATGGTTTCTGCTTGGTAAAAATGAATGGAGGCCTCCTTTTCTTGCTTTTTCTGTTTTTAGCTCACTCTCCTGTGCTTTCTTCAACAGTTCGCAAAGGTTACCGGATCCAAGCTGACAAGGAGAGAGACTCCATGAAGGTCCTGTACTATGTGGAGAAGGAGCTGGCTCAGTTTGATCCAGCCAGAAGGATGAGAGGCAGATGTGAGCATCTGGTAGTTTCATGTGGTCTGTGCTTCACTGAGGATTTGGTAGCTGAAGAGGAGATGGGGGACATCAGATTTGAAGCTCTGAGCCAGCAGGTGTGGTCGTGACACCATCACAAAGAGTACCTCCGAGAACACGGAAGGGAAGAGAAGGGGATTCTAGTGGAAGTGTGGAGCAGTCATGTGTGGTTTGGGTTGTCTCCTTGTGGGGCAGTCTGTGTCTATTGCTGTGGCCTTAGAGTTCTGGCTTTAAAATGTTTCGTTAGAACAGTCCCCTTATAATACTCTATAAGCAATCCTCAAAACTAGCTACTCAAGATGTGGGATGGCTCAGTCAGTAAAGTCCTTGCTGAGGAAGTGTGAGCTCAGATTCCCCACACTAGTGCAAGCATGAGGACCCATGTTCAGACCCCAGCACCCGTGGGCCAACAGATGACATCTCTAGCCCCCGTCCTGAGCTGGCAAAGACAAGCCATTCTCTGGAGCTCAATGGGTAGGTACCCATTCTATTCAGCGAGAGAGCCTTTCTCAAAACATAAGGTCAAGAATATCAAGGAAGATATTATGTTAACCTCTTGTGTTTACATATATGAGCACATGCTCATGTGCACAGACACACATGCACACTCAAGAAGCCATATTCAGTGTGAGCTTTTTCCAACCTGAAAGGCCCTAGTATTGAACAACTCAGATATTACTTGCCACATGGAGGCTTCAGTGAGAGTGAAAAAAGAAGTCTAAGTAAATAAATCTAGGAAAAAGGCTGGCATCCTTCTGAGATGCCTAAACCCCAGAGATTTGGGGGTAAGCAAAGAGGCTGCACTTCTTGTCAAAGAACCATTTAATTACTAAGTCTGTTGGTGGCAAGGCCCCAACCCTTAACTTATCCAAAGCCCTTGGAGGCTGCAGCTGACACTGCTGATTCTTTAGAGTGGGTTCCAAATTACTGTCTATCATGGGAGGCAGAACAGGGCAGGTCTGACTCGGATGGGCTAATTATCAAGAGGGTGCTGGCAAGCCTGGTAGTGAGGTCACTAGGCACTTTCTTTGAACCCTCTTCTTCTTGGAACCAACAAGAGACTTGATGGAGCTGTTGGGAAAACAGTCCCAGACTAGGGGAACTTTATTCAGATTAAGGACAACATATTCCACCCAGTTTACAATTCTAAATCCATCCTGTCTGGGTTGCAGCCATTGCTGCTTCCTCCCACTTCATGGACTATAAAAAGACCATCTCCAGATTGGAATGTCAGGAATGCAGATGTCACCACACTTGACAAGCTGGTTGTAACCGTGTTGTCATGGATCTCTGTAAGGGGACAGAGAGAGGATCCTAGATCAAGGAGAAGCCAGGCAAGAAATCTCCCAGTATCACAGCTTAGAGGAAAAGTTAATGATGAGGATCCAAAGTAAAGAATGGACCTGAGCGTGTGAGTTATATTGGCTATCTTGATCCGAAAGGGATTCAGAAACTGGCTGGTCTCAGCTGGCGGAGCCTTAGAGTGGAAAGGAGTCATAGAGGTGCTCCTCGTCAGCCTGTGCAGTGTTCAGATGAGGAAGCAGAGGCTCAGGGAGTGCATTGATAGAATTTGAAGAACTCAGATGGGATTATTCCCTATCCTGTGACTCATATACAAAAGCTTTAGAGTTAAACCTAGACTGGTCTCCTCACTGTGATATAACCAGTGCCAGCATGTGGCCAGGGCCAAGACTGGAACTCAGACCACCTAGTACCTGCAGATTGACAGTACAAAGCTGTGTGGACTGACACAGGACTATAGTTCACTCTGGAGGATGGCTCTGTTCTGAAGAGCAGGGAAGATCATGGACTGGGACAGTTTTAACAATCTCATAAAATAGATACCTTGGTATTACAGATTTGTAAGAATTGAAGGTGTGAGGTCCAGGTTCTCGAATTTATTGGCCACTGTGGTTTTCCTCTGTGTTACCCTTATAAGTGGTAGTCACTCCTGGATGCTTACATTCAGGGAATGTCTAGGGCAGGAGTCTGCAAACAGTATCTCCTGGACACAGGTATATATAACAATTTCCTTTTTTAAAGTTTTTAAATAGAATTTAAAAACTTTTATTTTAAAATAAAAGTTTTATTGGAACACAGCCAGGCTAACTGGCTTATAGATGTTCTATAACTTCTTGTTGGATGGCAGGACTGAATGGTTAGAACCAGTATGGCTCACAAAGCCTAAACTGTTTATTCCCTGGCTGGTCCTTTACAGAAAATGTTAGTGTATCCCTGTCCCAAATTGTCATTTTTATATTTGTGTCAAGGGCTACATTGATGTCATGTTCTACTTGGCAGACATTTTAGTGTAACATACACCGGGGACAGCTTGTTACTACAAGTGGTCAAATGGTGATATTTCTTACAATCTGGAGAAATGAAAAAGGTCAAGTATTCCTTGAAATTTAGAGAAAGTTCTGGGCCAACAATATTGTTTTGCAATGCTCTCATCCAGTGGGTTCTAAAGCTTTTTTTTGTTTTGTTTTGTTTTGTTTTTTTTTGTTGTTGTTGTTGTTCTCCTGTATGCCTACTAGAATTGGGACTCATGGGGACTGAGAGGGAACATTCTAGATTTTAACCAATAGTCTGTGAGCTGCTTTCTTTTAAAACAGGCATAAAGGCTGGAGAGATGGCTCGGCGGCTACGAGTGTCTGCTGTGCAGGCAGGAGGACCTTGGTTTAGATCCTGGCATCTGTGTAAAAAGCTGGACATGGTTGCAGTTTCCTGTAACTCCAGCTCTGTAAGGGGGCAGAGATGAGAGGATGCCCAGGGCTTGCTAGTCACCAGCCTAGCTCCAAATTCAGTGAATCAGGTGAACACATAAAAGTCCTCTGGATACATACACATAGACATGCAACACACACATACACACACACACACACACACACACACACACGCACACGACATCATCTTTCTCTTTAAGAGGTTTATGTTTAAATTTTTTTTATAATTTAATACCAAATTGTCAATCATGTGTGTTCTCAGTAAGACAATGCTAGGAGGACCTGCTGTTGTACAAAATTCCTCTGGTCCTCCCAGTCCCACAGGGGATGGAGGAAAGGCAGAGGACACATCTCATCTTGGCTTTACTTTTCACTCAGCAGCAAGGACTAGTAAATGTTGTCTTTAATAATATTTTCGAAATCTCAGTGAAAAGATTTAGAAAACATGTGGATTCAGTTACATCACAAATAGATTCACTAGATTTGTTTAAGTAAAATGAAATTCAATACATTTTAAAGTTTTTAAAATAATCAATATTTCTGTTATTTTTTCCAGCCTACATCATAATTCTGGTCCTAGTTCATAAGTGCTTCTGCACAAAGCTAGGAAATAAGGCAGGGGCCAGAGTTCAAGCTACAGCCCAGTGGACACAAAGGTTAAGTCCGTCTCCCAAACTTCTGGCCTGGCCTCTCATGACCACAAACACCTGGAATCCTTTGATAGGGAGGGGAACAGGTCTACCCAGGTGTCCTGTCCAGCAGAGCATTAAACATGGGTCCAGGGAGATCACCTGAAAGAGGAAGTGGGGAACAGGCCGACGAAAAGAAGGCAATCTGTCTATAGTCTGATCAAATTGCTGATTTTACTTCTTTCACACAGGGATTATATACACAAAAAAGGCAGGATGTGGGGAAGAGGATGATGGAGGAGTGTGGGTGTTCAGGGGGAATACAGATATCTTCCAGAACAGAGTATCAGCTGGATGAAGGTTCAGGGAACAGGTCACTATGACTCTGTCTATGATTCACTTGTCCTTATCTAAGTTGGTACTATCTACCAAGGTTACCTATCTACAAGGTCTATGACTATTCAACCTGGCAATTTTCTACCAAAACTGCTGGTTTACAATAGCTTCTAGCATCTGTTTCATCGTTTTCCCACAGAGACCCAAAACTTTGTGTTTAGCAGGCATGTATGTCAGGCCTATTGCTGATTTTAGGCCTATGGCTGATTTTAGGCCTTCAGTGTATAAGCAGGTCTGCCCCTGACACCTAGGCCTTAGAAGTAGATCTGGTGCTCCTTGGGCAGGGTATTAAACAGCAGGAGCATGGTCTAAAAGGTAAGTGTACTGAAACCAAGGTATATGTCCTCTTTGCCTTGACTTGGAGCTCATTGGAGAACAGAATGGCTGAAGAGCACAGACTGGGCCTTTTCTAAAGCACAGTGTTCATAATGGCTCTAAAGACCCTTTTTGAGACTGGGCCAGCAGTAGGGAAGATGCTATTAGTAATGGCTTTTTCCCCTCCATCTCTTGATCCAACATGGCCTGGATCATTGAAGTTCGTTCACTAAAGAAATTGTATAGGACAGAGAAGAACATTTGAATAAGGGAGATGTACTAGGAGGCCAGCTGCAGACAGCCTGAGTTCTGGGAAGCTTGCCTTAGGTAGAACAAAGACAATTGTCTTCCTATTCCAAGAACAGCATGTAGGAAGCCTCCCTCTCTGTAAGCAAGTTGGGTTTGAGCTGGAGCCAATTCCTGCTGAGTAACACAAATACCACCTGTGTGGATCTACAGTACACACTGGTCAGGACCAAGGCTCCCAGGCAAAAGATTCTGGAATATGTGATCTCAGCCCTTAGCAGCTCTCCCTTCCGTTTAGAAAACTGTGATGCCTGCTTTTGTCCCTGCAGATAACAACACCATCTCAGAACTCAGCTCCCTGCATGATGATGACAGCAATTTCCGCCAGGCTTACCACCAGATGCGGAATAAGCAGTTCCCTATGTCTGGGGACTTGGAGAGCAATCCGGACTACTGGTCAGGTGTCATGGGAGGCAACAGTGGTACCAACAGGGGGCCAGCCCTGGAGTATAACAAAGAGGATCGTGAGAGCTTCAGGCACAGGTGACGGCTGTGAGTGGGAAGGGACCACTGTGTGTCTGCTATTCTGTTTCTATAGACCGGAATATATCTCTTACATATATTACACCCCTGTGATTCCGTGAGTGAGAAGTAATCAGTTAAGCCTTTTTGAAGTGAGTGTCTTAGGCCCCGTAACGAACCCAGACACTCTTCATATGGTTTATCCTAGAACCTTTATAGGTTCCCACCCACCATCTCCACTGCCTTGGTCATTTGTCATAAGAAGGGTAATCATGCTGTCATCTCTTGTAATTAATCCTTATACTTCTAAAAAAGCAGCCACTATTAATGTCGCTATTTTATGGCAAGGAAACAGAAAGTTCCAGATGCTAAGGAACTTGCCCAGGGCGATAAGTCCAACTAACCTTTAATAATCTGTATGACAGACATCTTGATTTCTGAATGGCATGCCTGCACCCATTATCTGTCCTTGGAGGACAGGACGGACACACACACACACACACACACACACACACACACCTTTTCTTTACCCACTGCAGAAGTCTAGGGCCTCCTGACTTAATAGGTAACTTGCCTCAGAGAGAGGAACAGTCCTTTCTGTGTAACCAACTATTACTGTCCCCTGGGACCAGAGCTTTGCGTTGCTGTTTGCTGTGGTTGTGAGGGTGGGTGGAATAAAACGAAACGTGTGGCTGTCACGCAAGGGTCTCATCACAAGTGTTTCAGCACTACACGGATCACAAGATATTTTCAAATACACAACTCCATTCTGGTCTTCCACATAAACTCATGAGAGGGCCAGGATTGCTCTGGCTGGACCCGCAGCATGAAAGGTGCCAAAATTGATTCATCCCGCTGGGCGGAGGGGTCGAGGCTGGGCCCCTGGAACTCTAGGGGTGCGCTGCAAGGGTTCCATGCAGAGGCAGTAACCAGTGACCATCTTCCCGCAGCCAGCCGCGCTCGAAATCCGAGATGCTGTCGCGGAAGAACTTTGCCACGGGCGTGCCAGCAGTGTCGATGGACGAACTGGCAGCCTTCGCAGACTCCTACGGCCAGAGGTCGCGGCGCGCCAGTGGCAACAGCCACGAGGCGCGGGCGGGGAGCCGCTTCGAGCGCTCGGAGTCGCGGGCCCACGGTGCCTTCTACCAGGACGGCTCGCTGGATGAGTACTACGGACGCGGGCGCAATCGCGAGCCGCCGGGAGACGGAGAGCGTGGCTGGACCTACAGCCCAGCACCCGCACGCCGCCGGCCGCCGGAGGATGCGCCTCTGCCGCGCCTGGTGAGCCGGACCCCGGGCACCGCGCCCAAGTACGATCATTCGTATCTGAGCAGCGTGCTGGAGCGCCAGGCGCGGCCGGAGAGCAGCAGCCGCGGGGGCAGCCTTGAGACGCCGTCCAAGCTGGGCGCGCAGCTCGGCCCGCGCAGCGCATCCTACTACGCCTGGTCGCCGCCAGCCACCTACAAGGCTGGGGCCAGCGAGGGCGAAGACGAGGACGACGCGGCGGACGAGGATGCCCTGCCACCCTACAGCGAGCTGGAGCTTAACCGCGGGGAGCTGAGCCGGGGACCGTCCTACCGCGGCCGTGACCTGTCCTTCCACAGCAACTCAGAGAAGAGGAGGAAAAAGGAGCCCGCCAAGAAATCTGTGAGGGCACACCCCGATTTCTCTGGACCTGGGTCGGGGAATAGAGGGAGTTATGGGGTTGCACGGCCCCCTGGCGGGCAATATGGGCGTGGAGGCCCAGTCATCAATTTCACTATATCCAGCTTCAGGTGGAGGGAGTAAGGGTGGGACCCCCAGGGAGAGGACAACATCAACAAAACATAGTTTTAAAAGTAGATAATGTATACGTGATTGTAGGAAAGACTTTCAAAAGGCTCACATCCTTACTAGCCTTTACCCGGGGTTTCTGTGGACTGCATGCAAAATTTTCTCTGCATGCTTACGCAGAGAGCGATGGCTATTTACAAAGGACTGCTTCCTGCTTCTTCCTGTTGAATGAGTGAATGCCGAGTAGTCCATACCTGGCGTGTGTGAAGGGAGCCTTGCTTCTGCTCAGTGCTCTTGTGAATGGACGTGCACAGACTTCATTGCTTTCTCCGTACACTCAAGAGCAGTCTACTTACTCTCTTCCTTCAGCCCCTGGAAGAGCTCTGGACTTCAGAGACATTGGAGAACAGTCACGTGTCCACGGGGGGGGGGTCACCAAAGTACTCCTGCCCCCCACCCCCACTCTACACTTTGGATATCACGCTCCATGCCCAAGAATTTATGTTTGTCAGCTAACCTGACTGCATTTTATTTTCCTCAGCTCTCAGCTGGGCCAGCCTGCCTACTTTCCTGCTGTTTTTCCTTTTCAGTGGAGTTCAAACCCAGGGCCTTGCCCATGCTAGACAAGCTCTCTACCACTGAGCTGTATCCTCAGCGCTGGGCACTGTTTAGTACGCTAAAACAGAGAGCAGGACAATGAACAGGAAATAGGTGCTTAACGTTATAGTAATTCCCCCCAAGCACCTAAGCGTCTTAAACTAGATAAATACAATGACCAAGGAGGGTACCATGAGTGAGGAAGAAACTCTCAGGTGACTTCCAGTGAATGGTACACCATCCACCTGTCAGTATTCTTGAGATAATGTGAAGTTATTCTTTGGCCATGGAACCGAGTTCTGTCTGATGTATGTTGGCTTTAGCATTCTCTGGGCTTTGGGATAATCAGCAGAAATCTAACAAAGTCGAGAGTCAAGATGTGTCTGGTTGTGATCAGGTTTTCAGCTCAGTCTGTGGTTTAATGGTGGGCTCTTTCTGCTTTTCCATAGGGCGACTTTCCAACCAGGATGTCCCTTGTAGTCTGATACTTTTAAGACACCTCTCTGGATGACTGGAAATCAGATGCAGACTATGGAGACAAGACACAAATCTGAGAGCCGGCAAGCCTAGGACCTTCTCTGGCCAGCAACCACCTTGGAAGCTTTGCTGATCTCTGTTTTGGCAAGAGAGCCTCCTTTAAGAAGGCTGGTTTCAAATCTTAGTGCCCATCTATCTTGAGGAACTTACCAGGAAAACACTGTGTGAGAACACACCATGTAATAACCCACCAAGTTTATCTTGCCCCAACCCCCATTTCCTTAGCAGAAGGAAGACTCTGTAGCAGTTCTGAAGCAGGTAGCTTTGGACCCCAATCTCTAGAAATTACCTACACCTGCAGTATGTTTTTCTACGAGTGCTGTTTTGTGCTTAGAGACGGAGGAATTTATTACTACTGGTAGAAGGCCTTCTGCTCACAAGAAAGATAACTTTTTATGCTAAAATCAGAAGGCCTTTAGTGAGCTTAGAGGCAGTGACCTCCTGGGCAATCACAGAAATGGCTTCAATTTGCTGCTCTGACTCACTTAAGTGGCTGGGACAAGCAGAGGATAGCATTTTGAAAAACTGTCTTAAGTGATCTTTCTTTTTCCATTCAGAGGACGTAAACTGCTTTTCATCTTTCTGTTGTACACAGTGACAATCCTAAGTTCCCCCCACCTCCCTGGTCCCTCTCTTCCTTCCCTCTCCTGGTCTTTTCAGGGCTGGTGCCTCTGAGGGTGTTCCACTCCACTCTTCAGTGTGAATAGCTTGTCATCAGGTGCCTTTGACAGATGTTTAAAACACACATTTGAGAGAGGAGAAAAGCAGAAATCGGTGATGCAAGATGAAGAATGGGAAGTGATATGTGGTCTCATTATATTTTGAGTGTGGGTTGTTTTCCCACACTCAGATTTTCTTTCTATTTTTTTGGATTTGTTCTTCACTTAAGAGTTATTTATACCATCCTGATTCTGCTGCTGCTGGGCACCAGGGATGAGGTGTCCACATCTTTTGGCCTCACTGGCCAGCCACTATAGATGTTTTGGGGAGAAGAAAGATACCACTTCCTCAGCAACAAACACTTCCTCTTCCTACCCTTGCAAAAGAATTCATTGATTTTGCCTGAATCTCAAGCTGGACTTTTGTAGGTAAACTGCAAAAGTAGCCACAAACTCCTCTCGTCTTGTGTTCCTGTGGAGGGATTGGTCCTCTTGCTGCCATGGACCCTACCTAATGCACCTCAACTCTCCTACATGGTGAGAGAAGAGCCTGTTCACTATGGTCACTATCTGTGCCCGTTTTATCAACTCTAAGCAGACATGGAAGAACATCCAGCCACGACCAGCAAAAGAACTGCCTAGCTGAGCCGAGCCCAAACTGAGGATCCCCACTTGAGAGGAGAAACTTGGCATTCCTACACGTTCATCTATCATCAAGGATAAACCTCTCATCAGAATATATGGCTCTGATAGGTCACTCACCCAACCTTGGGTGTCGCACAACCTTCGCTTTTGTTAGCAGACTTTTCAGTCTTCATTATTGTGGTGAGACACGTGACTGGGTGAAGTGGCTGGAGCAAGGTGATGCTTGCTATCCCCTCATCCAGTGGTGGTCTGTTCTCTACTTATTGGTCTATGTGTAGCCTCTGGAGAAGGTTGGTCAGCATTTCCTCAGACTTTTCCATGACCACCTGACTAGAATTGCAGAGTCCATTCTGTTAGCATCCATTATACTTCATGAGATTTCCAGAAAGGCCCTTCTGTGTGTGATGTAAGAAGCTGCTGGGTTAGGGTTGTGGGTGGGTAGAATCATTGCTTGGAGGAGAACTGGCCTGTCAAAGAACTTCACGGTTGCTTTAGCCTGCCCTAGATGGATCAGGAGGATACTTCAGCCCAATGCTGGCACTTCCAAGGGCTGGAAGACAAAAGCCATAACTCTGGTGCTGAGTTTTAGACTCGCTAGTGTCCCTGGCCGCAGAAAACCTAGGTCTGATCTGTCTGTTTGGGCTCTAAATCAATATGGCAAAAAACCGTCATTTCTTAATCACCAGCTTTTGATTTCAATCTGCTCAGGCATTTTTGAAGAATACTGGATAGCCGCAGTAGCTGTTGTTATACTGAGCACTGTGCCAGGCTTCTTACCACCAAAGAGCCCCATCGCACAGACTACAGAGACCAAATACATTGCTTTGTAGAGGCAGGGGCATGTATGGGCTTGGGGAAAGCTGGGGGAGCAATAAATTAAAGAAAAAAAAGTTAAAATTGGAAACACAAAGTTCTAAAGACAAGTCTATAGGCTGAAAAGATTTTTAAAATTCAATCTATAGAAGATAACAGGCTTTTAGAGTAACTGGGGGAAAGTGGAGCACAGATTGTTCTTTGTAGGGCTGCATGAATCATGTGGGCTTCCAGACCTTCAGTATTGAGGAGAAACAGTTGCTTCTGGGTATGTGGATAGGAGGTAATGCTGAAGGGAGAAGGCTAAGTTGGCTGTCCTCGGTGCCCCGATGTTTCTTTACACACCCCTTCATTTCTTCTCCAAATACTGTGTCCCGCACAGGAAGTGCCTATGCGTATTAGTCCCTTTCCTGTTTTTCTAGGCATAAAGAAAGTCTTATGTAAGAGGTGATCTCCGTCTACTGATTCCCTACAATTAAGAAGGAAGATAAGTCATCCCCAAGAAAGGATGAGTATATTTTATGCATATGATAAGGAATAGTGCTATGGATAAATTATAATAAACCCAGAGATTTAAAGTTGTTGTTTTTTTTAAAAAAAAAAAAACTTAAATGGGAATATTTTGATATTTAAGTGTTGTGTGTTTGTCCAGCCATCCCATGTTTAGGACATGCTCCGTGATAGGCAAAGCCAGGCTGTAGAAGTCTGAGCTGCAAGGAGGCGAAGGAGAACAGAGAGGGATGAGAAGTGGGGGCTGGGGAGGGCAAAGGCCTGCTGCAGGAGTTTCTGTCTCTGTCTGTGACTCACAGCTGAGTCAGGGACAGGCTGGAGGAGGGAGTGTAGAAGCGGGTGGCAGGAGGGGTCGCCTGGTGCTCAGAGTTCTTCCCTAGGCCATGTGTAGACTCATTAGGAGACTTGGAACTGTATTCAGTTCTCCCACCCAAGCAAGGCCAGGGGAGCTCAGGATCTTGTCCTCCAGGCACTTGTATTTACAGCTTGGGGTGCAGTAGCACCTCACATGGGTTAGGAACCTCATCTCCCTTCTCAGGACCCTCACTCTGCCAGTGATGCAGGGCTGCGCACAGCAGGGTGGGAGGGGGCTAGCACTACATATAAAACTCTGGTTAGATATGCAGCAGTCTTTGAAAGGAGTGGAGTAACAGATACTGTTTTGGTTCATCCACTCTCCAACCCGTTTTAAATAGATGGATAAACCACCATCCCCATTTATGGAGTCACAAACCTGTCAGATCTTCAGATTCCCAACCTATAAGCTTTCCCTGTTGGATCTGTGTTTTAAAAAATTCCGTAAGAATTATTTGCCTAGGGACTGGAGAGAGATGGCTCAGTGGTCAAAAACACCGCTTTAGCAGAGGACCTGAGTTTGGTTCCCAGCACCCTCATGATGCTCACAGCTGTCTGTAACAACAATTCCAGGGACCCACTGATCTTGTAGAGCATCTGGGAGCACTAAACGCACATGGAGCACATACAGGCCATCAAAACACTCAGACACACAAAATAAAAATAAATACATCATTAAAAACTGAAAAAGAAAGGGGCTGGAGAGAAGGATCTGTGATTGCGGGTGCTGGCTACTCTTCCAGAGGATCCACATTCATTTTCCAGCACATGGAGCCTCCCAGCTCCAGTTCTAGGGGATCTGATAATCTCTTCTGGTCACCTCAGGTACTGCACCCATGTGTACAGAAACACGAAGGCAAAATATACACATTTAAAAAAAAAGAAAGAAAGCATTTTTAAAAACTCTGGGTAAAACAACTATTTGCCTGTGGGACTGGGTTTGTGACTCAGCCGGTAGAACGCTTGATTAGCATGCACAAAGCCCTGTACTAGCATGTTCAATCCCCAGTACTATAAACTAGTGGTAGTGGCACGTGCCTATGATCCCAACATTTGGGAGATAAAGGCAGAAGAGTTTGAAGTTCAAGGTCAGCCTTGGCTACATAGGCCAATCTGGGCTGTATAATACTCTGTCTTAAAGAACCAAACAGTAAAAACGATTTAAAAACTCAAGGATTACTGACTGCCGCTGTCAAAAATGCTGTTGGACTGTGCCTTGGAGAATGGTTGGGTGGATCTGGAATAAAGATTTATGCTCTGAACATATACTTTCAGAGAGCCTTGTGGTAGGTGCATTTAGGTTACACTGGATCATACCTCTGGTGCATCCCTATCTCCTGGCCAGGAGTATTTTATTTTATTCCTGTGCTGTGGATTATTTTATTCCAATATCACTGTGAGGTCCCTCTAACTCCCTTGGGGCTTATACTGGTGTGGCACCCAGCAGTCCCAGCTATGACACTGGAGACTGGCTCATCAGAGTCCAGCTGAAAGGAAACATTTAAAAGGAGAGGATTGGAAGCCATGTCCCAGGAGACTTCTTGAGATATTCCAACTCCCAGAATAGTGATGAGTTGTGACAGGCTGAGATCAGACAACAGGAATTACAGGCAATTTTCTTATTCCCTTGCCATCCCGAATCAAACTTAGCTCATGAATAGAAAGAAAGCCATCAGGGAAAAATGGCAAATGTAAATCATTTTTAAAGGGTACAAATTGACAGCTTTGCTAATAACATAACTTTCATGCTAAGACCAAAAGTGGGTGGAGGAAAAATAGCAAAATATATATTATGCCTTTCAACATTGGTTTAATTGCGGCCAGAATTTTATAGGAGTTTGGAAGTGACATATAGAGTATAGGAATCATCCATGGAAATTATAAGGAAATTATAAACAAAATGGTACCTAGTGTTCCCTGCCAGGACCCTACCTCCTAGTTACTTGGGATGGCCAGTGACGCTCAAAGACCCTAGTAGCATCAAAGCTGAGTAAGAAGAAGCTGAGTTGCTTTAAGCAACAGCCTGAGGTTGGCATCGATGGGGCACATTTGTTCTTCACAAGCCCTGTGTTTTCCCATTGTACACAATGTGGAGCAGAGGCTGAATATGCCAAGTGACCACCTATTGCCAAATAGCTTTTAGTCTTTAGATGATCTTTTGGCTGTCTAGGTTCTTTCCAATTTCTGCAGAAATCACAGGCCCAGACTCCAGCTTATTCTCTTCACA